GTGAGTGGCCGGCTGGGGCCCTTTGGGTGAGCTGACAAGCCTTTGCCACTTATTTACAAGGTGTAGCTAAACATCTGCTGGGCACCTGGCATCAATGCCAGTAAGAAGCATGTTTCCAAACCCTGCCTGTCCCCTCACGGCTCTAGCTGCCACCCTTCTAAGCCATCGAAGCCCCACTTGAGTTCCCACGTCCCACTGACCTTCAGCCCCGCCACGGCCACTCCAGGAGCTCCCTGGGAGAGAGAACATGGCGTGAATATTCCCGCTGTGAGGACCAGCAGGGACCTGGCATCAATGCCAGTAAGAAGCATGTTTCCAAACCCTGCCTGTCCCCTCACGGCTCTAGCTGCCACCCTTCTAAGCCATCGAAGCCCCACTTGAGTTCCCACGTCCCACTGACCTTCAGCCCCGCCACGGCCACTCCAGGAGCTCCCTGGGAGAGAGAACATGGCGTGAATATTCCCGCTGTGAGGACCAGCAGGGAGGAAGGGGGGAGCCCCCCACGGTGAGATGTGCACCTCACCCAGGAGGGGGGCTGTGGAGCTGAGCAGAGAGGACCCTGAGGAACAGGCTCGTACAGCCCAGTGGGACGTGTATGTGGGGGGAGCTGGGCTTCCCACTCACCTTGCTCAGCTCCCAGGCTCCCCTGGGAGGGACCCTGGTGGGGGGTGTCCTGTGGGGGTGGAGTGTCCTGGGATTATAAAGGAGAAGAGGACATGGGAGGGAAGGGGCGGCAGAATGGGGAACTATAGCTGCAAGAGACAAGTAGACAAAATGCAGGAGCTGGTTTTGTTGAGTCCAGTCGCTCCGAGAGTGTAAGCGGGTCCCCTTGCAGGAAGCCCGCTAAACCGCTGCCCTTGCCAGCTAAGGCAGGGCAAGCGAAGCCCATTTTCATAATAGCTCCAGACCACTTTCTCTGAAGTCAGGATGCTGCCCAAAGAACACTTAGTAAATCCGTGGAGGTGATTTTTAGAGAGTTTCCTCCCCACTTGGGTCTCAGGACTGTAGCTAGAGTTGGGGTTCCCTGAGAAGGCTTGTTAGGACCCAGAGAGCCCCAGGAGGAGGCCTGGCCACAACGGGAGGGCACTTATGAGAGACTGTTCATGGGCTGAACAGGAGCGCCTCCCACCTGGAAGGACAGGCTAGTACAGCCAGGGAAGGGGCCAGGGGAGGAAGGGGCCTCACTTGTTCATTAGGGGACCTGAGCAGCTGCCGTTCCAAGGGCCCCTAGAGCTTGGGGAGGAGGGATGGTGAGGGGAGGGGAGCAGGGGGCCCTGGAGTGTGGTGAGGAGCTGGTACCTTGGCTCCGTGCTTGCCTGGCATCCCTGGCAGACCTCGTTCTCCCTGGAGGAAGAAGCAGAGAAATGATGAGAAGAGGTGCGTGGCTTGCAACGGTGCTGGCGAAACCACCTGCCTAGGTGCTTGGAACAGCGCCTAGCTCCTGGTGACCTCTGAGGACCCTGCCATGGCTGTGTGAACTTGCAGGAGGGTCTGTCCCAGGCTGCAGAGCGGAACAGCTGCCAGAGATGAAGGCCCACACTGTGGGACCTGAGCCCAGAGAGGGAGGCGATTTGTTCAAGATTTACAGCCACTTAGCAGCTGGGCTGGGCTGGGCCGGGCCTGGGGCAGGGGTAGGGCGGTGGGCAGCAGAGGCCACTGGGCCACTGCCCTACCTTGTCTCTGCCACCTGGCTCCAGCAGGTTTGCCGGGAAGGTACCTGCTGCCTGAGCCAGGCAGGGGCTCCCTCCTCTCTTCAT